GGCCACCTCCTGCAGCCGCAGCTGGAAGATGCCGGAGCCCGCCGCGCGCTGCTGCACAGGGACGGAGAGAAGGAGGGAGGAGGGCGGTCAGGTTCAGCGGCGCCGGGGCGCAAGCCGGGAGCGCAGCCGCGGGAGGGGGCGGAGAGGGCGCGGGACGTTACCTGCGGCCACAGTACCGCCAGCAGCAGCAGCGCCCAGTGAAAGGCGCTCCGAGACCCGGGCGTCATGCCTTGGGGTGTCCTCTCCGCTCGGGGGGCTCTGAATCTGCTTGTTAGGGATGTCGCTCTCCCTCCCGCACGTCCGTCTGCCAGCCCAGTTCCTGCAAAGCTGATTCCTTTCGGCGCTCTGCTCCCTTGTCACCTTCTCGAAAACTCCGCGGCTCGATGCCTCTGTAGGTAATCCAGGTGAAGGCAACCGGGCGGTGGTCACTCTAAGGATGTGTTCTGGAGCTAATCCTAGGGCCTCAAGCGCTCTAGCGCCGGGGTACACTGCACCCAAGCGGCTTTGGCTGAGGCTCTTGGCCTTGGGTTCCTGGCCGGCGAGCAGCGCCGCTACTGAAACCTGCTCGCTCCGGAGCCTTTCTTATATATATTGGCTCCTCTTCGCAGCCTGTCACTCAGACGGGCTCATGGTTACTCTCCCCTCCCCTCCAGGCCTCTAGTGGCTACAGTCCCAGCACCCACCGGTGGGGGCCTCCGCCACCGCCGCTCCCCCGGTCAACTAGCCAGTAGGGCGCAGGTCCCCGCCCCTCTTCCAACCTCTGGGCTCCCAGCTCTGCGCGTGCCCAGGGCGCAGTCCTCAGAGATCGTCCGGTTAAAGGCTGAGACCCTCGCCACCAGACGATAGGAGGGTAGTCCAGTGATCGGCGGGAGGTGAGGTGGTTCCGGGATGGTCCTGGGGGTGGAAACTCTAAGGGGTACCGGTAGGCGGTGTATCTGCTCCAGGCATAGCTACCTATGCTGGGGAGAACTTAAACCAAGAAGCGAAAACCAGCGCCAGGAGACTTGGATCTCCCTTTCCTTCCCAGACTTTTTAGGTAGCTCGTGCCTCGCTGGCCTCCAGCCTATGAACACCCACCCACCACGCGTCCCCAGCACCGCAGGGAAGCCATCGGACGCGTTAACCTTTCCGTGGCCATTTCAAGCAAGGCAAGGGGCCAAGCGTCTAAGGCGCTGGTCTTCTCTGCACCTGGTAGGCGTGTCGCTCTCCAGCAGCGGGGCGTGCCCAGCGCGTGCCTTCTCTCTTCTGTTCACCACGCCCCCGCTCCTGGCTCGTGCTAGCGCCAGCACTAGTGGTCCGAAAGGGAGGTAGGGGGCGTGGTTCTCGAATTAGGGGTGGGGGTGCGCCCTCAGCTGTATGGTAATGAAGTCCTGGCCTCTCCCTCAGTGCCTTCCTCACCTGGGTCACGCTTGGGCACCGTCGCCTATTCTGGCCCCGACCCGTGTCCCCTAGCTCCACGGGGATAGGGAGGAACTGTCCTAACTCCGGAGTTTCCACGGGCCACTAGAGAGGCAAGGTGAGAGAGCCTGAGGCTGAGCAGGACCCGTTCTCTCTGCATAGGGCAGGATGTAGGGTGGAACTGGAGGCGTACAAGTTGTTTGAGTTTCGGGCGGCTTCACCCACGTCGCACGCGTGCCTCTCCCGGGTGGCCTCTGAGCGCAAACCGTGCAGCTGCTTTCCCAGAACCCGTCGTGTTCCCCGGAGGCCACAGACCGAGGAAGGCTGGCTTCTCCTGGGTTTGGGGGTGCTAGAGAACTCTCTCTCGGCTACACTGAGGGCGGTGGGGGCACTGTGGCTTCATCTGTCAGCCCGCCCGCGTGGTGATGGCTGGCTGTCGTCGGATGATAAGATCAGTGCGGGGCAGGGGGGAGGGTGAGCGGGGACGCGGCTCCAGCCCCAGGGAGGCCGTAGTAGGGAAAGAGGAGCCCAACAGCTGCCAATGACGAATATGGTCTGATTTTTTTACTTGGTTGGTGTTGATGGGGGGGGTGAGGAACATGAGGTTCTGAGCGTGGGGTGGGGGTAGGGTGAGGTGAGGAGAGAGGCTCCGGGGTCCCCCACGCACGGCTACCCCTCCCAGCCACCATCTGGCGCGAGCGGGTTGGCGTGGGGAACCGAGGTGGGGCGGGGGCCGGCAGATGGGCCCAGGCTGCACTAGCGAGTTAATGTAGGTTATGGGCAAGCCGAGTCCCAGGCCCGAGGGAGGGGGAGCTCAGGGCGTACCTCCCGGCAGTCCTGGCAAGTGGACTTCCCAAATACCCCTCTCTGCGTCCTCTGTGTATCCCTAGACCTGCTTAGGGTGTCCGAGGACGCTCCCACTCTCTCCTTAGAGCTGGCATGCAACCAAACCCACCAGGTTCTATTAGCTCTCATACCAAAATCCTAGCTTGGGAGTTCATTGGCACGTGCTCCCTCCCTCTTTCTAACGCTGTCACTTGCCTCTCAAGGGAGACATCTACTTCCACATAACACAGGGTATCTATTACTCTTGGAAGTGTTCTACCCACTCATACACATTAATGTGCCAAAATATTTTGCAGATAGTCAAGGACCAAACACAAGTTGTGACCACTGTTTTCCTCAGAAATGGACAATGTGAGCCATCCAACCTAGAAAACTTCTGCCCCAGAAAGGAAAGTGTTACATTTTCCTCTTCACTAGAAGCACCTACTCCCAATATCCCTGTGGTTCTTACCTGGCCAGGGCACCACTCTTAGCCTCGGGTCCCTGCTGGAGTTCCCATCTGCTGGGATCAATTACTAGACAAGAATGTGTAGGGAATGATTCTCCATATCGCACAGCTGGAACCCTTCTCTCCTACTCCCTAGTTATGAGCAAAAGAACCGACTCTAAAGTGGAAGAAGGGCGACCCAGTCCTGGTTAATCAAAGGAATGAAAGATTGTGAGGCTGTCGGGTAGGAGGCAGGAGGCGGAGGATAGCAGGTCACTGTGGGCCAGCTGACTCTGACCCTGACGTAGACACTCCCTACGTCCCTAAGCCAGACCGACATGAGTCCCCATAAACTGCAGCCCTTTCTTGGGCCCCCAGCTCCTCAACTCCATGACATCCTCAGCATTTCCCAGCTCTGAAGCCTCAGTATTGGGAAGCCAGTCAAAGCCTTTCTCCCTCGAGCATTTCTGCTTCTACTGTTCCTCCTCCTGGCCACTGAGCATGCCACTTCTCAATTTCACCAATTATGCAGAACCAACCCCTGAAACTGAAAAATAAAATAAAAAAGCCAAAGCTTTCTTTCAGCTGTGTCTCCAAATTGGCCGCAGGTTATTGGGGTGAGGTTTCGGGCCTCCTTCCCCGCTGGAAGCCTATGAGCGCTCCCCAGGGCCACCAGCGCAGCTCGGAGACCTCCAGCGCGGTGTTAGCCCTCCTCTTGGCCGCTACCCTTCCCAAGGGACAGCGGTCTGGACCCGGCACACTGCACCCGGGTAGAGACAAGGTGGGGTCTGGGCTACTGCGCCCGCGGGACAGGCTGGGGGCGGGGAAGCAGGCCTGTCTGGGGCTGGGCTCTTCAGCCTTGAGAGACCCTGCTGCGGTCGCTGCGGAGAAGGGGCCACGTGCTGGGAGCCGCTGCCGGGGAGCTGCACAGAAGGCGGGGAGATTTGCAAACTGTTGCTGCCACATGGCTGCTTCATTCGATCCATTCACATTGAAATGAGGCCGGCGCGTGCCTCATCTGCCGCAGGGCGCTGCCACGCGTCAGGCTGGCCCGCCGCGTGCCAACTGGGGCAGTGGGGCTGGCAGAGCCTGCCAGCCGTGGGGGCGCAGCTCGGACCCTGAGGACAGGAGGGGATAGGGAAGGGAATTGAACTACACTAGTCACTTCGGCGCCGCAGTTTCTCGGACCTTGGCCCTGCATTTAAGAGTGAACCGACAGACAGAAAGGCCCAGGACGAACGGTTTCAGAGGGGGGCCAGGATCGATGCCGCCGCTCCCCGCAGATGCGCCCGGGCAGCGCTGCTCTCCATCTGCTGCTGCTCGCACCTGCCGGTCAATAAATCGATTTTACAATTTAATGCAGCAGCTTCCCGCCCGCCTCGGACAGATGCCGCCGCAGAAGCACCTCCGCCCTCTCCCCTCCCCTCGAGGGGCGCCAGCGGTTAGGATCTGGATTCCCGCTTATCAGGCAGCGCCCCGCAGCGCGGCGCACTTTCCCCTATTGCTCCATTGAGAAACTGAGAAACTGCGTATTTCGAGTTTTTGCCCAGGGTCAGAGTGGATTCCCGTGAGAATAGGCCTGAGGCTAAGGGAGGAGAGAGGAAGATGATGATTTAGCATTGGCCTCGAGAAGTGGCTGGGGGACTTCAAGAAAGGAACAGGATGCAGGAACTGATGATAAAACCCGAGGGCTTGGGAGACAAGAGAGGCATGGTATTCTAACTCACAATGAGTTCTGATTTGAAGAGGACAGAGCAAGGCCGAGTACTGAGGTGGCCTGGGGTCTGATGAATGAGTATGACTGGGACCTGGCCGTGTGGTCCTGGGCTTTAAACTTAACCATGACTGTACACCTGTTTTTTCGTCTGTGTGATAATAATAGTGACCTGGGAGAGTGAAGGACTGCATTCAACTATGCATTTGCAAGAGTCAATAATTTAGTTCCTTTCCTTCCCTCCAGGCAACACGAAGACAACCAGAGGCCACCCTGGGGTCAGGGCACAAATGAGTATCAGAGTTTATGTAAAGGAAGAGAAAAGAGACACACACTTCTAAGGGAGGAGGCAAGAGGAGCAGGAGTGGGGCAAAGCAAAGTGTGAGAAGTCAAGAGTTCAGGGCCTTTTGCAGGATGACTGTGATAAAGGTCCTGACTGAACAACCTGGAGAATAGCTGTCCACACTTTGGCCTCCCAGAGAAAAGTCTTCCCACCGAGGCAGTCCTCTTGCTAAGGTGGCCTGAAAGGACAGGAAGACCTTCCATCTCCTCCTCTGTGGTCCTAGGCACCTAGGGCCTGGAGTAATTTCATGCGGTCTCCTTGGCCTTCCCAGAGCACTCATTCAAAGCAGGTGGGGCCTGGGACTGAAATAAGTGCTTTCTCAATAAGAGCAGAGACAGTAGGCCTGAGAGGAGAAGCTAAGGATTCTCGAAGTTTCTTTTTAACTGTTCATGGTAAGCCAAAAGACAGGAAGGCAGTGGTGGTGCACGCCTTTAATCCCAGCACTTAGAAGGTAAAGACAGGCAGATCGCTGAGTTGAGACCAGCCTGGTCTACAGAGC